AAAAAAAAAAAAAAAAGGATGCATTGTATTCCTTAATACACTTTTACCTATAGCCAATTCACCAATTCCTTCTGCAGCTATGTCTAACATGTTGTTAAACTGATCCACTTTCTTAAATTTTGTTATCTTAGGTCTATCACTTCTACTTGGTTCTTATTAAAAATTTTCATTGTTGTGGGTATTATAGATGTCCCCCATTCCCTCCCCCTTTGCCCCCTTCTGCCCAGCTCCCGCCCCACCATTGCACTATTGTCTATGTCCATGGGCTATGCATATATGCTTATAAGTTCTTTGGTTAATCTCTTCCCACCCCCTTCCCCCTTCCCTCTGAGATCTGTCAGTCCTTTCCATGCTTCTGTGTCTCTGAACCTATTTGTTCATCAGTTTATTAGATTCCACATATGAGATCATGTGATATTTCTTTCTCTGACTAGCTTATTTTGCTTCGCATAATACTCCCCAGGTACTTGGCTCTTTTTCAACTCATTCTCATTTTTCAAAGTTTAAAATTATTTGTTCACTTGTAATCCTTTACTTCCATGACCAGAGGAAACATAGCTGGTCTACACTGATGTCTGAGAATTCTAATCTGAGGCTGCTATGTATTTGTCTGTTGTCTTTTATTTCTCCTGATTCCTATGCATGTTGTCTTTCCAAGATGCCTTTGTTAAATCAGGGGAGTAACTTTAAATGACTTCACTTTAGGAGGGCTTTGTCCAGGACTATCCATCCACAGGCAATGAGGTCTTTCTGCCCTTACAGCCCATCTGGAACCAGCTTTGTTTGCTTCCTCATCTGCAAAATGGGGTAATAGTGCTTAAATCATACAGCCTACCTGAGGTTTAAATGACAGCTTTTGAGTTCCTGGATGCAGTCAGACCTGAAACTAGTATTTCTGATTTTGGGGTGTTTTCTTTTTTAGTCAGTTTGGGTTGGGTTCCTCACAGGAACTACACTGACTCTTGTCAACTGGGAGCTTGGTGAATGGTAATGCTAGACTGAGTGACCCTCAGAGTAGGTCTTGTCAGGTCTAATGCAGCAGCAGGCTGGGGGGAATGTCGAGGCCCTGACTGTGGAAATGGTCCCTCAACCACCACTGAGCACAATTCCCTTTCTCAGTGTGACAGATTAGTGGCTTATGTCCAGACACCATACATTTGTCCACTCCACTCCATCCCACAGCTGTGCCCACAGAAGCTGTTTCTGATAGTTGGCACCTACAGGAGGGGTCAGGTAGGAAATTTCAGTGCTTAAATGGGATCTTATGCTCACACTATGTGCAAACCATTCTGTGATAAGACTCTCCAATTCTTTTCAGGGATGAGGCTGGAGGGATTCTGCCTGGTGGGGAAGCTGGGGTCATGGTGATATAGGGACTAAGTACAGGGGCAACACAGGCACAGAACTTTTATCCTGTCAGGTTGGCTGGTTTGGGCCAGGTGTACCACCTCTGCAGTTCTCACAGGACACCACTGGGGACCTGTGAAGTGGTCTGGATAGTCTCTTTATGCCCAGAAACCACGCATTTGCCCACGTGGATGTCTGTTTGTTCCAGGTGCACCTTTCCTCATCAGTTGTAGTGCAGGTCATGTCCACAGAAAGATTTCCAAGCCCGGGCCCAGAGGTCAAACAGCCCTTGCAGAGACCACCACCAGTGTAACTGATGAGGTGTGCTGACCTCCCGATAGGACTTCAGCAATTGCTTGGCCTCTGTACCTCAGTTTCCCCACCTGAAACTGGAAATGACAACTCTGGTGTGAGATTGTGGCGAGGATCATGTCAATATGTGTAAAATGCTCTGGAAAACACAGCATGCACTTGGTGCTGGGAATCATGTCTGGCGTGCAGATGGTGCCTCAAAAGCACTTCGAATGGCACCTGGCACACAGCTGGCACTCAATAAGTACTCAGAGCAGCATCCACCACATACCTAGCACTCAATAAACACATATAACCACACAGGCATACAACTGATGCTTAGTAAGTATGTGAAGGAAAAAACAAACGCCATATTGCCAAGGAACACACTGGCACTGGCACTTTATATATACACAGTGGAAGGTACAGGGTCTCAATAAGAAAATACACTCTGTGTTGAGGTGTACCCCACCACCACCCTATCAGTACACCCCAGGTTGAAGACACAGGAAAGGGAACAACCATAAATACAGGATAGAAGGGAAGGTTAATGCTCTAAGAGGCAAACACAGGCAGGGACACACTGCAGGAGGAGACACAACCTCTTCTTCCCAAGGAAAGAGCAATATGGCGGCACAAGAGAACAGTAGCCACAACTAAGCCTGTGATGCCTGGCACGGGACACCTAACATGGGTAAGGGGACAGGAGTGGAGAGGGGAAGGAAGAGAGCAGAGATAGCTTCCTTTCCTGTGGCAGGGCCAAGGCTGTTCAGTTGATATCCATGAACTCAGATTTGGGTAGGGGATCACAGGCAGGAGTTGCTGGGGGGTCAGATAAGCCAGGCTGGGGCTTGGTTTGTAGGCGACGTGCCACATCCTGGCGTTGATAGAAGAGGACATAGGCTGCCTTGGACTGCAGGGAGAGAACAGGAGTCAGTGTGGATCGGGGTGGGGGAGGGTCAGGAGAATGGAGGACAGAAGTCACACCTCAATCTGATTCTCAGTCACAGGTGAGACGCTGTTGTCATCAAAGTAGTGCCACTGCCCACTGTCCTTGTTGCAGGCAAATGTTGTGTCTGGAAGAGAGGGGGAACTGTCCTCACCCACCCTCTGGCCCCTAAGAGGTGTCCAGGTTCATTCTCTCACTCCTCCCACCCTTGATGACCTCGCTACTGGCTCACACATCTAGTTGCCCCCTGGGGATATCCTGACCACCTCCGCCCCTCACCCAGGGCATGCCCCTGCCACATACAGTGTCCATCACGCAGGCCCCCATAATGGTTGGACACTGCAATGAGATCGTATTTGTACAGCTCTGGAGCTGACTCGTCCTGCGGCTTGATGACAAACTCGGAGAAGTCCAGGTCCCTGTGGGTGAAGGGAAGGTTAATACCAGCATACCCCCTTCCCACTCCCTGCCTTCCCCCCAGCCAGCCTCCCTGGGCCCCAGACCGAATAGGAAACTCCACAAGGGTATCCAGCTTCTCTCGGGAGAACTTGGTGTAGGAAAAGCGCTTCAGGTGGATAATGAGTGTCTCAGGCAGTGTCCACAGGTCCAGCTTCTTGGTGGCCAGCTGGTGCTGCTTGCAGGAGGGGCAGTACCTAGAGACAGAACTCGAGTCAGTACGCAGACACTTTCTGGGCATGCTTTGGCCTTTGTGGGCCCTGTCCAGTCCAGAGATGCTGTTCTTATTTCTAGCCTGCTTGTTACTCTAGTTTGTTTTTCACATGCCATTCATCAAGGGCTCACGAACTGCCTTCTCTGTATATGCTTTTGTGCTAGCATGTATTTTTGTTTGGTTTCTGGTCCATGAAGCAGAACAAGTTTAATTTCAGAGCCTGCCTCCAGCCCTCGTTTTCTATTTCACTCACTCATCAGGCATTCACTGACTGTACCGCTCAATCTTCTGGCACTGCTTTGTACAGTGGTACCATGGTTTTCGAATGTAATCCGTTCTGGAAGACTGTTTGAGTTCTGAAACGTTTGAAAACCGAGGGATCAACAGCTGACAGCTAGGCCTCAGGATCTTGCACTCAGCGGAAGCCGTGTGGCATGTTCAACTTCCAAGGCATGTTCAAAAACTGAAACATTTACTTCCAGGTTTACGGTGTTTGTAAACCAAAACGTTCGTCAACGGAGACACTCGAAAATCAAGGTACCATGGTACTCCTGTTCCCTTTCTGCTCCACAGAGATGCTCTTATTTTTGAGACTGGCTTGATCTTTTTGGCTCTCTATGTTCTGTTTATTCTACAAGGATGTACTGAGCACCTACTGCACACCGCACACTATTATAATCAGTGAGAAGAGACACACAATGAGCTTAAAGTCTTCAGTCTCAGGGGGTTTAATCTAACAGATAAGACAAACAATGATGCAAAAGGGGATCTAGGATGTGACATCAAGTGGTATTACCCAGCCAGAAAGAGTAATGCTCAGCCAGGAAGAGCACTGGGAGGTAATATATGGAGGTGATGGGGTAGTAACAGAATCTCTCTGATAAGGTGACATTTGATAGGAAAACTGAACAAAATGAAGGAGTCCAGTCCAGAACCAGAGGATGAGCATTCCTGGGAGAAAGAACAGCCCTGGCAAAGGCTTTGAGGTGGGAATGTGATTGGAGTGTTGGTGGCCAGAGTGATAGGAGGGTTTGAGTGAGGGGGAGGGGAGAAGGAGGTATATTTAGAGATAATAGGGACCTGGGCAGATGGTCCCACCCAGCTAGAGCCCCAGAGGCCCTGGTCCCTCACCAGGGGTTTTCCTTCTCCAGGGTCTCCACAGTGGTGAAGAGCTCAATGCACTCCTGCAGCCGCACAGGAGCCTTCTTCAGCACATATCCAACGCAGTCATGCTTGACGTAGCCCTAGGGTGGGAAAGTGGTGGCCCGCCGGGTGTGGGCAGATAAATAAAAGGGAATAGGGGTGGAAGACACATACAGCAGAGTGGTTTAGAGCATGGACTTTGAAGACAGGAATCTGAGGCCTTGAGAACTCTGCAGTCACAGCTTGGAGGACTTGGAGGGATGTGTGAAGAGTTGAAGGGATGAAGCTGCAAGTGCCCCCCCAACCCCTGGGACCTTGTTTACCTCAGCCTCCACCTCATCATAGTAACGCTTCTTCATCTCTGGGTCCCAGTCGATGGCAATGTATGGCTGGGCTGGGGGCGAGCGAGGTGGTCATGGGCCCTGCTGCCAAGGAAATCCCCCTCCTGCCTCCCCAACACTGGATCATAGCTAAAGGAGACACCTTGAGTATCCTCGTTAAAGTTTGAGCGGTCGCTGGTCCCATTGGAGTTCACTGTCTGCAGGGTGAACAGGTGCTTGCGCCGTGCTCTCTGGGGCCAGTGAGATGGTCCAGGAGAGTTGTCCGCGGAGGCCCGGCTCCCGCTAGCGACTCCAGAGCTGGGCCCAGCCTGCTCCGGTCCAGGGTCTTGGGAGCTGCCCCCAGCCACGTTTCCAGAATTGGGGATGCTGTTCTTACCCTCCATGTCTACTGGGATAAGGTAGGATGTCAGAGATGGGTCTGTGTGCACCCTAGTGGGTGAGTGGCAGTGACTATCCAGGTGGACCCTATGGGTGTCAGACTTACCCTGACGACCCCGCCCCCCAACCCTCTGGCCAGGGAACCGCTTGTACACAAACCCTTGTCTATCCTCTTACCTTCTTCCTCACCTTTCTCATCACCATCATCCTCATCATCTGAGCTGGGTCTGGTCACATAGCGTCTATGGGAAAAGCAAAGGAGATTCTTGAGGGGCACAGGGCAGGGAGGACAGAGCCCAGGATTGTACTCTGCTTGCTACGGGACGCCACCGATAAGCACCCACACAAACAGTTGTTAATGAGGAGCCCGGAAGGTCTCAGGAGATGACACAGAAACGCATGAAGATGTGACCCGACAATGGAGGATCTGATGTGCCACAGTTAAGGAGTGTGGATCTTATGTGGGATAAGCCCATAATGCAGACACATGATCTGCTGTAAGTTTCAGTCAGGGAAGGCCTCTGAGGAGTGGATTTGTAAGTGGAACATGAGGGAAGGGTTAAGCCAGACAGCAAGCAGTATTCTGCTGGTCTCAGGACTCTGGATTGTAAACCCAACGAAAATCTATCGGTAAAAACACAAGTAAGCAAGCCTGTACAAGGAGGAGACAAGTACAAGATGAAGTTGTCTGTATTTTGTCCATTTTGTTCACCTCTGTATCCCTATCACCTAGGAGAGGCAGTGGCCAAGCCAGAGGTTTAGAGAAAGAAAAAACCTACACAATCCTCTCTGACCGTATGAAGTCTGAGCTGTCTTATGGCCATCGAAGGGAGGTGGCAGCCAAGCAGCTAGACACTCAGGTTTGAGTTCAGACCCCAACCCCTGTCCTCTGAAGGGCAGACTCACGAGAGGCGGTACAGCAGGATGTGGTACAGGGCATCCCAGGAGAGCCGGTCCCGGGGCACTGACACCAGGAGTGGGTGTCCGAAGAGCATCAGGCCATAGTAGGAGTTGTTGTAGTCCCGGGCTGGGGTGCGCTCCCGCAGGTAGATAGGGATCACCACATCCTCCCTGGTGTTCTCAGTGATAGAGGACCTGCCTGATACCTCATATCTGCAGGGGTGGATATCAGGTCATTCCTGATCAGGACACCTAAGAGGGATTCTTGGACTCTGATCAGGTTGATCCATCCACTCACCCCTCACAACCTGAAACGGGTCTAAAGAGTCACCCAGTGTGTTGTGCTTTGCAGACAGATGATTTAAATGGCACATTGTTTATGTGATGTTTTATAAAGTACTTTGGTGTTATCAAAGTGCTGGGGTAGTGAACAAAAACTTTTACTCACTAAGGGATTTAAAACCATTTTCTTTTTGGAAAACACTGCTTGGTTTACAAAGAACTTTCATACTCGTGAAGTACTTTCTATTTCAGTTACCCAAAGATTTTAATGTTTTGAATGTTCTCATGTTCAGAAAGCATCTTAAGTGTTTTTGAGGACTGCAATATGAGAAAGGAGTGCAGGTCAGTGTCTGGTACACAGAAGGTGCTCAGTAAATACTGAATAAAGAAACCAGAGCCCACCTCACATAACAAGGAAGAGGATGCCCTGTACTAGGATCTGTCACCCCAGCCCACACCCCACTGAGGCACATGGCTAAAGCCTTGTGCAGGGGAGGTGCCCTATCAATTGGACAAGGGAAAGTGGTTAAGCAAAAGATGATCCTGAGGAGCCCCAATATCCCTGGTACCCTCACTCACATGAAGATATCATCTCGATCCAGGATGGTGCTCAGAGACTCCTCCAGTTGGAAGATCTTATAGAAGCGGTGACTGAAGACATCGGCCACCATCATCTGGGAACAGGATACCGAGAGGGGGCTAGTCAGTCTGTAAGGTCACTCCCCACAGGCCCTTCAGCCTCCCTGTCCCTGAATCCCACCCTAACTCCCATCTGCAGAGCCTTACCCTTTCAGGCGAGACACCAGTGTGTTTGGCCAGGGCCACACACAAATCTGAGATCTTGCCTTTCTTGGGGACCACAAGTCGGTGCTGAGGGAGAAACAGTGTCCACAAAAGAGCAGAGGGGCATGCAGGAAGTTAGTGCAGGAACCTTGAGGCATGGCAGAGTAATCAAACGAGCTCTGGCTACACATCCCTCATTATGTCTCCATGACCCTATTCCTCCATACCTGCTCTGGCTTGCGGCGGGGGTCCATGGAGACAAAGAAGACCTCCATGACCCTCTTGTGGCTGACAGGCAGTGGGACACTGAGGTAGCAGAAGGGGTCAAAGGTCACAGACACATTGCCACAATCAGGACACACCAGTGTGGACTTGAAGAGTCCGTGGAAAGTGTCCACAATCACAGAATCGTTCCTCCGTTTGTGGTTCTGCCAGGCCTCCTGAGCGACCTCCTGTTGACAGTATCATGGTGGGTGGTGGGGCTTGCTCGGAGCAGGGGGGAACCATGGTTTGGGGTGGATGTGCATGGGGTTGAAAGTTAAGGTTAGGGTCACTGGTAAAGTTCATAGATAGATTTATGGCTAGGACTATCTGGAGCCTTCACTGTCAGGACTGGGGTTTACTTTGGGCAGCAGACTGGGTGGGGGTTAACTCTGGGTTGGGTGTGGGGGCAGATGTGGTGTTGGAATCAAGGTTGTGACTGAGGTTCAAGTTGAGGTCAGGGGTGGGCTGGGGTGGAGGATATCCCAAGGAAGCCAGAGAATCCCCGAGGGAGAGGCCCTAGTAGCTTTAATGGGGCTCTCAGGATGGGGATAGTTAAGGAGCACCTACATGGTCAGGCCGCCCAGCAGCATCACACAGCTCCACATATTCCTTCTTCTTTACACGATTGAGGTCCTCATGCAGCCCATCCAGAAGGAACGACAGCAGCTCCTGCGAGTCATGCTGCTGGTAGCCCAGAAACTGGGATGCAAAGTGGCCGACCTTGGTCTGAGTAGATAGACAGGGCCAACAGCGCAAGAGGTTAGTTAGGAGAGTCAAGAGAAGTGTGTGTGTGTGGGGGGAAGGGGCAGCCCAAGGCTGAGTCACACCTTGAACACATTGGGCACGATGGAGCGGTGGTGGCCAGACCAGGCTTGCTTCACCAGGTCCGCATAGGCCTCTGCGATCTCACCCTTCATGCCCAGCGGGTTGCAGAAGTTGAGCTCCTCCAGGTAGCGGTTTTTGAGGAAGTACTCGGTGAGCTGTGGCACATTGCTGAGGCACTGCAGGGGGCAGAGCCAAGAGAATGAGGTGGAGAAGAGGAGAGGAGAGAGAGGTGACCAAGATGAACAAAGAAAAGAAAGTGAGGAGGAAGGGGGAAGAAAGAAGGGACAGGGGGATGGGGGAAGGAAAGGTGCAGGAGTAGGGGAGAGAAGATGGCAATATTTCAGGAGAAGGGGGAATGTAGTGACAAGAGGGAGAAGAAAAGGGAAAGCAGGGAGCCAGTAGAGGAGAAACTATTGATGTTTCAGGAAGGAATGGGAACGTTTGAAGTCAGACTTGTGAACCCTTGTCCTGAAGACCCTTTAGCTCTGTCCTTAATCCCACTGCTTGAAGCTCACCCCTGTGGCTGTGCCAGACACAGCCCTAGTAGACCCACCTGCAGGGCCGAATTCATGAAGCACGTGTTGCCCAGGTTGGTGAGACCACAGATGCCTGGCTGGCCCTGGAAGTTCTCATCCTCCTTCGACGTGCTGCTCCTGTGGCGGATGAGAAACTATCAGCTGAGGACCTACTTACTACATGTGGGTGAAGTGTGCTTATGGGCTCCATTGTTCTGCCTACTGTGGGACCCTGCTCTGGGCCAGATACCCCAGGGGCTTACGCAGCACGTGGCTGTTTGCTGGGCCAAGTGCCATCCTTGCTTCGAGTCTCCATGATGACCAACTGGTTGGAGGAAGAGAGAGAAAAACACAAAAGGCATTTGTGGAGGGCCTATGGGCACCTAGCCCTCACCTCTCCCAGTCTGAGCACTGCTGGGGACCAGAAAAGCCCTCCCCACCCTTACCTGCCCAGACTTGAGAGCAGCGTCAAGCACTGTGACACGTGTGTTGCACAACCTCTCAAAAGAGCCCTCCGCGTTCTTGACCCAAAGTCGTGTTTCTTCCTGGGGGTTCACCACAAACTGCTCTCGAGCGGTACGCAAAACTAGACCTATGGAGAGTGAAGGACACATTAGAGGTTATCCTGGGACCCTGAATAATTGACCCACCTGGGCTTCAGACTCCGCCTCATCCCCATAGACCTTGCATACTTGGTCAACACCTTGTGTCCCCAATCAATTCTCCAATGGCTGAACTATACTCAGGACTTGAGACACCCAGCAAATATCCCCCCACGATACCAGCTCTGCAGCTAGAATGCAGCTCACATACCATCGGGACCTCTCAGGGCCTCTGCCCAACTTGACCAAGGTCTTCTCAGTCCTTCAAAGTCTGCCAAGTGCTTTCTCAGTCTGCCACAGTCGAACCCCATGCATTCTTAGGTCACCGAGCTGACCCGTGGCTGGGAACGCCAACTCGTTCATGACCCTTAGACTCACCAATAGAATCTGTTTGGCTGAATTGAGCAGTGTGAGGTGTGTCCATATCACTGTGCTGGACAAGCAGCAGTTCTACTGGGTACACTTCGACCTCACAGATACCACGCAAATCCACGACCTGGCAGGGTGGAAGAGCACACACACAAGTGTACCCACACAGCATACACACACAGATGCAGCACAACCACCTCTGAGATGAGAGGAGCATAGGCACAGGAGAACACACACAGGGGATACACCGAGATACCTGTACAATGACCTGTGAAAGGGGAGGAGTGCAGGCACAGATGTATCTATATAGTTTATGTGGAGACACATGCACACACATGGGCCTGTACCCATCCTGGGCCTATAAGGCCTTCCTCCTACCCTGCCACCCCAGAATCTACCTCCTAGCACCTTCCACACTCACTATACCTTGCGTTCAATGGGCGGTTGGCCATGCTCTAGATCATACCAGCTGACCAGGTAATTCCAAGCAGCTGCTGGGAGCAGCACATAGTCCTCACCTTCCACCAGTCCCTTCTTGAGGTGCCAGTTTACGCTGTCTGTGAGGAGCAGGGGGAGGTGGAAGAGGAATAATCAGGGAAGGAAAGCAATGAGTTATTTGGCCATCTCACCAATGACCTAACACAGAGAAGGGGCTATGATCATTTGTAGGGACAGAAGGGAAAAGAACTCCAGGGCTAGGCTGATGTGGGGAGGAACAGGCCTGATACCTTCAAAGAGCTTAGCATTATTGATACAGCCAGGGATGGTGCTGGAGTCCTGGTTTCCTCCCTGCACGTACACTTCCCACTGTTTGTACCAGTGCTGCTCCACAAGGAACCTGGACCAGAGATGTAACAAGGGGTGTCACATGGTTATCTGGGGGTTAGTTTTACCACTTCCCAAGGTTATTAGATTAGAAGTATCAACACATTATAAATCAAGACAAGTTTCATATGTCACTAAAACTAACACAATGTTATATGTCAATTTATATTTCAATTAAGAAAAAGAACTTCCTCCCAGAATTCAAAACAAAAAAGAGTTTCAGCATCATATAAAAATTAGAAGCAAAACATTCAGTGAAACTCAGATTTGGATAGATGACCTAATTTTTTTTTTTTTTTAATTTACTGATTTTAGAGAGAGAAAGGGAGAGGGAGAGGGAGAGGGAGAAGGAGGGAGGGTGGGAGACAGAGAAACATCGATGTGTTGCTTCACTTAATTATGCATTCATTGATTGATTCTTGTATGTGCCCTGACTGGGGATGGAACTGGAAACCTTGGCGTATTGGGACGACGCTCTAACCAACTGAGCTGCCCAGCCAGGGAGAGATTACCTAACTTCTTAGGATACTAGAAGAGATTTGATTAATAGCAGAAGATGTGCTCAATAAAGGAAAAAACAAACAAACCAAAAACCCATACCCATGGTGCTAGGAAACACGAGGTTTTATTAGAGAATAAATAATAATTCACTTGTATTAGTTTGTGGTTTAACACAGTTAAGTTAGGCTCAAAATATGTTATTTGCAGCTAATGTTATTAGGCTTTAGCCTGTTGTTAAGTGTGCAGTGTTTGTAACAAAACATAAATGGAGGCAAAAATCTTCAGCTACTTAAAACAATTTCAAATGCTAAAAGAACCGTAAGGCTTTCCTTCAAAGACTGCATATCACCGTTTTTCATCATTTTCGTATTTAGGACCTATTTTGGCTTTATAATAAATTTCTGAGCTTATGGTGATTAGTTCACTTTTCTAAAACATTGTGGTAAAAAACATATAACATAAAATTTATTATCTGAACCATTTTTAAGTATGTAGCTCCATCAGCTCTCTTTTAAAGTAGAAACTTTTATATGCACTGCTAGGGTAAACAGTTAGGTCTGATGAAATCTGCCTTTGTAAAATGTCCTGAGAATTTATCAAGTCTGAAAAATATCTGACATATACTAAGTGTGAAATAAATGTTAATGGTTACTGTTCAATCACAGGGCTTCAACATAAAAGCTCATGTACACACAGACACACAATCCCTGTCCTCTCCCAAACCTGCTCAGCAATGGTATTTTTTGACACACAAAAGGCTGTCCTAAATATTTAACAGCCTCAAATAAACACTTTTTAAAAAACTACAAAACTGATGAAAAATATGTAATATTTATTGTATTGGTCAGTTTTCCAGCAATTTAACCCTATAAAAGGGATTCTGTAAAATGGCTACTTTCCTTTGTTTATAGTTTATAAAAGGATTAGAGAGGTGGGGGAATGGAGGAATAGAAAAGCCCTGGGATAGTCACAAGTAGTTGTTGCTTGAACTATTTCTGTGGGTTGTTTTTCTCCCCCATCCCCACAGACCCTGCACTTCACTCATGCCAAAGACACTCTCTCCCTACCCAGACAGCTCCTGCCACAAACCTCCCATCACTCATCTAGAAGGCCCCATCACTGACCCTTTATCCCTTCCCCTTAGTAGTTTTCATTGCCTCCACTGACAGTCTCTGAGGTTAATTTATTCAGTTAAGCTAATTTATTGTTAATGGGACTTTCAACCCAAAAGCTGAGTAACTTTTAAAAAAGCAGATTTTTAAGGAAAATTAACATTAAAAGGCTACAACCTGAATTTCTAAAGGCTTCATAGAAGACTGAAGTTTTACATAAATTACTAACATGTTTCTTTAATTCAGAGACACTTAAAATTTTTTTAACATCTCTGAAATTGGGATGTTTCATAATCTGTCAGCCCAGGTGGCAGTCATACAGAGTTATTATTGAGTGAAAAGCACCTGTGTTGTTATATTTACTTCCAGGTATTAGATTTTTGGGGGATGCTACCATAAATGGTCTCCTTTAAAATTTAATTTTCTAATTTCTTATTGCTAGTATGTAGAAATACAACTGATCTTGCTGAAGTCACTTATGTTTACTTGTGCTTCCTCAAATTTGTTAAAATGCTATGAAATATGTGTTTATGGAAGTAAATTACTAAACAATATTCCTTGTCCTCCAGTTTTCTCTTGTATCTAGAGAAAATAAAATTGGTTATTTTGGTTAAGACAATAATTTACATAATTCGTTAATTATACTAGGTACAATAATTACAGAGAAATAGAAATATGGATATAAATTAAGAGACATGATTTACTTGTTCAGATGGCAAATGTAATATTCCACTGTTCTGAATTTATTATTTATATACCTGCATAAGCCTAAATACATATATAAAGGCATATAAATAAGTCCTTTACTGTAAATTATTACATGAATGTACCAGAGGAAAACTAGAATTTAGGCGTTTTTCTGTAAAATGATCACATTAATTTATGCCCAGATTAGAAGTTCCTTTTTTGTTACCAAATTATTGTTAACTCTTGGTGCTTTCTGACATTCCCTCAACTCATTTTAAAACATACCTTAACTCGTTTTTAAAAGAGATTCCTTGTTTTAAAAATAAGTTAAGCTCTTAATAATCTTTGCTGTTTATCATCGTGTTTTTACAAAGTTCACTACAATATTTTTTGTCTTTACTTCAACTTATATCTTGTCTTTTCTAACTATTCTCGATTTGTCCTTTCCAAAATTGAGGCTCCAAATTGAGAATAACAACACTGTTAAAAATGGTCTTTTATGCCTCAACTATCTCTGGGAGATAACAAAGATTTGCTCTTTCACTCTATAAAAGGAATGACAACAGGCATAATTAGATTTATTTAAAATTCTCCAAATTTTTATTAAATTTTTAATAAAAGCTCTTCTTTTCCAAACTTAATATTTAAAAAAATGACAACACGAAAAGTTTATCTTTTCATGTAATTAAAGTATAATTAAATATGCTAATTAAATATGCTACAATTAAATCTTTATGTATAATTAAATATGCTAATGTAAGTTTTTCAATAACTGCATACTTTTCAAGCTAAAAAGAATACTCAAAGGCTGGTACAGTGACTGTCTAGCAAAAGATTCCCCACTCCAGGATTCTAGATTCACAAACCCCCTTTCCCTTTTGGTTCATGAAAATCTGAACAAGCACCAGGGGTACTGATTTAATTATACAAGAATTAGATCCAGTCGCCAAGGCTTATCCTACCTTGTGTAAGAGCTATGGCAGCAATCGCCAACCAAACACGAAAATTTCAGTTGATTTAGTTCTAGGGTCTTCATTAAATTAATGGTTCCCCTATGCTGTGCAGCTTTCTCCATTGACAGAATAATCTCAACATTTCTAGGTTAGTCCTTATCTTCAATGAACATGCTGCTGTTTTCCCTTCACATATCACTATTCTGTAACACCGAATCCAACCACCCTCCTTCCTTTACCTGAACAAAGAACTCCATGCGTGCTTACCTGTTAGGAAACTACCCACACCCTGAACATGCCTTCTAAAGAACTCTTGATTTAATCACCCTTGTAGATGGTTCATCCTCAAAAAGAAAAAACTAAAATTTGCCAAGGAAGCTATACTATTATAGATTTGAATTTACTGTTAAAATATAAGCTTTTCTTTAGAAATTAAATCAGTTCAGATGGCCAAATTAATTGCTCTTGCTCAAATGCGCTAGCTGACAAAAGATAGAAAGTACAAATATTAATGATTTATAAACACAAATTTCCTGACCACTACAGCAAACCCCTGGAAAATGGACAGCAAATTAAAGAATCTTGAGATGCTTCGCTCTTACTTAAAGAGGTAAGGATAAAAAAACGGAGTTAAGAAAAAACACTTTATGATATTATCCGCAATAGCAGAGATAAACTGGCTTCAATACTGGACCAGCATTGGTGGAGTAATTTTTTTGACAGAACATACTTTTTAAATTCACATAATTAACCATTTTAAAAGCGAACAATACAGTGGCATTTCGTACATTCACAATGTTGTCCAACCACAAGCTCTATGTAGTTCCAAATCATTTTCATCACCCCTAAAAGGAAACCCTGAACACCTCCAAAGGGCTATAAAGACATTCTAGTTATTGTTGTTTATTCTCAGGATGGAACGAGATTTTTCCTTGCTAAAAAGCTATAGCGTAACGGTTAAAAAAAAAAAAAAAAAAAAAAAAGGCTCGGTTTTGAATTCCCGATTTAGGGAATCTCAACTTTGTTTCTCCAGTAACAGAAATACATATTTTTACCAGTACCGTGATTAAAGAACCCTGTAAGACTTGCAAACCTCCCTGTAAAGGTGAGTGCCCGCCTGAACCTCAGAGCCTACTCGAGACTTCAGACGAACGGCAAGAGACCAATATGGCGGGATGGAGAGAGTGAGGGGGAGGGTACTCAGGAGAGAGCTAAGAAATCAGAGCGCGGGACCAGTCTCCAACCATAAAGCCTTGTAAGTCATTTTAAGAATTTTAGCATTTACACTGCATGAGATGGGAAGCTGTTAAAAAGTTCTGAGAAATGGATGGACAAAAATTATGTTTTTAAAAGAATTACTGTGTACGGAAAGAGGAAAACAGTACCTTCACAGTGGAGAAACCATGCAGATACCACCTTCACCAAGTGATCAAGGACAGCGTCACCAATGACGTCATGTGGATACCATGTACCACCTGATACGAGGCACGCGGTTTGCATCCAATATGATTTCATATATATCCTCCACAAAATGAAAGCTTAGGCCACAAATACTATTTATGAATGCATACAGTGGTGAAGAAACATTAAATTAAAAATTCAGGATAACAGTTTCCCGGGTGAAGGGAGAGGGATTTTCATCTGGGAGGAGCACAGAAGTATTTAAGGTAACAGTCTGAACCTTAATCTGCGTGTTGAATACACAAATTTTTGTTTTATTGTTCTTCAAATTTTTTACTTCGAAATACCCAGAATAATTGCAAAAATAACAAAAAGACTTCCAGTACCCTCTTCATCCAGGTACCCCAAATTTAACATTTTACCCATTTGCTCGATCATTGTTTCTTTAAGTACATTTTTATATATCCTATTTTTCAACTATTTGAGAGTAAGTTGCTTTACACGATGAGACCGCTAAATATTTCAGCATGCACTACTAAAATACTTTCACATTATAACCACAACACAATTATTAAATTAGCAGTATTAATATCTAACATACAGACCTAGTCAAATTTCACCCATTTTCCCATTAACATCTTTTACAGTAAAAGAGAGAAAATTAATTTAATTTTTAAATTTTTTTCTTCTGCTTCGGGATCCAATCCAGAATCACACGTTGCGTTTAGTTACGACTCGTTAACCCCCCCTTAATGCCTTCAATCTGGAATAGTTCATCTTTTGTCTTTTACAACCATGAAATTTTTGAATAGCACAGGCAGTTTATTTTTATAGAATAAACGTTTCATATAGTCTGCTTAGGGATTACGTATTTTTCACCATTTTAAAAACGAGATGCAACTCGGCAAGAAAGAAAACGAACCCAGAAACAGTATATCGCAAACACTGATTAGCAATGAAATCAGTAAAACAAGCCTATTTATGAAGATACTCATTGACACTTTTCTTTAAAATAGCTTTTTTTCCCTGATGACAAAAACAAAACTACTAAAACAGAAAACAAATGCAACATCGAAAATCCCTCCCGTGCCAATCACCTGCACTTTCTCCCGTCCTGGGAAGAAGGCCTCTGCCACAGGCAAAAACCTCGCCGCGTCACTAACTTTGCTCACTCGCAGGCGCCATTTTCTGCTTCACCAGCACCACCTCCCCTCTCGGGCAGTCTTTCCTTGGCCTCAGGGCACGCCCCTCGGCCTACGTCAGGAGCCTCGTTCCCAGGCGCGGGCTCCTGACTCCCGCCCAGAACCGTTGGGCTCGGATTTCGCTATGCTACCTGACGTCACCGCCCGGTCTCCTCCTCTGGCGTCGCGGAGCAATCGCTACCGCCCTCTGACGCCACAAAACCCAGCCTCCGTCGCGGAGACCGCCTCCTTCCCAGGCTCCTAGTGCCACCACGCAGGCCCGGGCCCACCCCCACGGCCGTTTCTTCTCAGGCCCTGCCCTCTGTCTCTCCACAACCAACCCCATCTAGTTCTCAGATGTCAGTCAACACCACACAGGCCCCGCCTCTTCCTCCATACCACACGATTCACTCACCGGCACTTCCCCGCCCCTCCTATTCTTCGTCCCACAGGCCCCTCCCCTTCCCAAACAGCAGATCTTCTGCGGACCTGCGCGTCGCGCCCCCCACCGTCACCAGGACTCCCACCGTCTCCTCAACCGAGGCTCCGCTCGCAGCCCTGCCTCACCAGCTTTCGCCAGCCCGCAGTGGACGCTCTCGCCCACTCTCGATCTGGCGCCGCTGGCTGTCCTGGTCCGGCATCGCTTCGCGCTGTGGCGCTCCATCTTCTGCCTCAGTCAGCGGATTCGCTCCGACCGCCGCCATCGCCGTTCGCCTTCTTCTCCCAGCCCCCGTAGTGGGAGATGGAAGGGGCCCCTCAACTGCCACTTCCGGATTCTGGTCCCGGAAACGGAAAGGGAGCCCCCTACACCTCGAGGAGTCTATTACCACATTGGAAATGGTCTATTACCATATTGGAAATGAACCCCGCGGTGAGACGCTTCTAGGGCTAAGCGGCATTGGACCGTGGGCAGTGGTCTCTGCGACAAATAGGGTAAAACCTCTACTTGGGAGCTAAGAAAGACAAAGGTGTCCTGTGGGATTCTAACGCCATGTTGAGTCCAGGCAACGGGTTTTTTGGAAGTTGGAGGTAGAGGTCTCCGAGGTGGACAAGGAGTGCTCAAGGGCACACAAAAGTTCGGGTCTTCTCGGTCCGTGCTCTCCTGGGGACCCCGGATCCCTTCCCTGGGAGCGGTGTTTTTCTTAGCATGACCAGAATGCCCTTCCTGCAAAGCACTACCCTTTTCTCCCCTCAAAACCAAGTGCAAAACAGGTTACCACCCCCAGAGCGCCACCCAGGCCTGCGGGCAACTTCCCTGCCTGAACTAGGTTCTCTCAATAAATATGTTGAACTCAAGTCAGCCCCAGGCCCAGTGTATTTGTCGGGAGTTACAGCAATGATAACTAGTAATAGCCTTGCTTTATTGCAGGTAAACAAGAGCCTTAGGTAGCAGATAACATCACTGTCGCCCATGCTGAGGACCAGAAATGTTAATTCACTTTGCCCCAGCTAGAGTGTGGCTGAGCTGTGGTTCGAACTCAGGAAGTCCGGATTCCAGAGCTGTGACCTTAAACACCAGGCCAGAGATTCTCAAACTGTGGTCCTAGGCATTCCACGGTTCAGGAGACCCTCTCAGGGGGTTCACAAAGTCAAAACTATTTTCACTGTCATTCTCTCTTGCACGTGCGGTGTAATTTTCCAGAGGCTACATGACATAAGCAAAAAAAAAAAAAAAAAAGGTTTTGGATGTCAACTTTTAATTATATAAAAAGATCCTGAGATCAAAAGTTTAACAACCATTGTAGTAGGAGTCCAGGGTTTCTCAACCTAGACACTGTTGGCATTTCTCCGTTGTGGGAAGCATTGTAGGGTGTTTCGCTGCATCCCTTGGCCTCTACTCACTAGATACCAGTAGCACTCCCCAGCTGGGACAACCATGTGTCTCCAGACATTGCCAAATGTCCCTTGGGGGCGGGGCAGGATTATCTCCAGTTCAGAACCACTGTACTAGACTGGCTATGCCATCCTTTTCTCTGCTAGGGCTCTTGGCCCTACCTATTGGTGGTAACTTTCATTTTTCAATTCTAGTTGACATTGAATATTATATTAGTTTCAGGTGTATGTTGGTCCCTCTGGCTCCCTGCATCTACTTATTGGCTGTCCCCACTTGATCATTCCACAACTCCCCAAGACAGGCTCATGATTATGGGTCCGTTTCAGGGACTTCCTTCACTTCACCATCCATTCCCACAGGCAGTCACACACTTTGCCTTTCCACATTTCTAGGCCCATGCACAAAGGTCCCAGGAGTGTCCAGAATACCCTCTTTATGCACTATTCCATCCGCCCCCCAAACACAATCTCATAATTTACCTCTACGCTCAGTTAACCTCTGTGGGGCAGGGATTGTTTATTACTGTGATACTAGCCCTCAGCCCAGACCTGGCACAGATTTGGGGAGGGGGTCACAACTCAGTTGTGTAAACTCTGAGAAAAGGGAGCAGCCCTTTCACCTGGGGCATCCCCAGAGTGTCTTTGAATTTGGCATGTGGCACACTGCTCTTCAAGCCCAGCTGCATCTTGTCTCTGAATTGACTCCTCATTGCCCCTCTGCAGACTCCCCCTCCCCATTTACCTGGGTAGCCTGTCCTTCCTAAAATCCAACAGGCCTACCTCCCCAGACCTGAACTGGGTCTTTCCACTTTGTAGAGGCCAACCTCTGCCCACACCAATGACCCTACCACTTCTCCAAGGAGTTGTGTGAATTCTAGCCCTTCTAAGTCTGGCCTGACAATCCTGTCCCCCTTTGCAAGGTCCTCATTTTCCCAGCCTCCCTTGCTGCCAGAGGTGGCCATATCATTTTATTCTAGCTAAGGGATGGCACAGGAAGTCTGTGGAGGAATCTGTGGAAGTTGTAGATCTGTTACAAGGAAACAGGCAGGGAGGGAGGATGCCATTTTCTCTGCTTACTTTCCATCTTTGGGGACATGGCAGCCATTGTGGAACCATAAGGCTGCAAGCTGAGATATCACCCAAGTGCTTACAGGGACACAATGGAGTGACTAGAAGCCCTTGGGCCCCTGCTGCTGGACTTCATTAACCAGACACTTAATTAGGCTTGCTATTACCTGCAGCGTTTGCCTGGCCCTGCCCACCCCACCTATAGTGCCTGGAAGTCTATTCTTGGCTTTGCTGAAAATGGTGGGACTGGCTAGAAGTCTTGCCTATGCTCACACCTGAGGCCAAGTCCCAGGATGTGCCATTTCTTCTGCACCTCTCACAAACCACTGCATCCTCCTCAGGATGGTCTCACCATGGTTTCCATTACTTCCTAGACACCACTTCCAATTTTTAATCCAAGTATTTTAGGATTCCCCCACCTACTCAGTGTTCCAAAATCTATCTTCTTAAAGTCTCTCCAACTGCCCTGCCTTATGGTGTCTGGGTCAGACATGTGGTGGTCATACTGGGCCCCTCTGCCTCACCTGCCCACCTCCTGGTTTTATTGGGCCTTCCAAGTATCTTTCAAACAAATGGCCTCTCTACACCTTCCTGTCTCCACTCTCTATCTGGCTTCCTCATATTCTTGGGTAAATCTAACTCCTCTTAGCCCATCCTCTGTTCAGTCTGCCCTACCTGCTTCAATTCAGTGTTCCACTGTTGCGTGAGTAATCTCTCAGATGCCTTTTTCATAGTCATGATGTATCCCTGGCCCACTCCCAGTGCTCTCCTAGATTATGGGAACCAGATGTGAATTCACCAAGGTTCTAGTACTCACCCTAGGTCAAGTCCACTTTTACCTCTACAGGGATTTGCAATCACATTTTTCACTTTAGACTTTTTAATATTTCATACAGCGATTATGGTGCATTCAGGAACCCAACCTCCCAAATCC